GAATTTCTCTTTATTAGTTTAGTGATTTGTTATTTTTGCAAGATTCATCATTGAACTTTTCCATGAGTAGCAGCAGATCTAGGATTTTAGTGAATGAGCCAATCATAATTACAAAATGTGTTTTCATGTCGAATTAAAAGTAGTATCGACTCATTTGCAGATGTTTGCTACTGACAAGAGAACTCATTCGATTGATAAGATCATATTTTTCTCATAGATTGGACTCATAATTTAGATAAAAATTCGGAAACGATTCATATCATTAGGCCTTTTTTCTCGAGTTATCGCCATTTTACTGAACGTTCAGTCTATTGTAGAATATCACGAAAAAACTGCAACAAGGAAGTTTCGGTCGGAAATTCTTGCTATTTTAGAAGAGAAACATCTGTTTGAATTGAAATTTTCAGCGTATCATAAAGATTATGAGAGATATTGGATTAGAAGAATTTCAGGTCAAAAACTTCACATTGCGATGTTTTCGTGATATTCTACAATAGACTGAAAGTTCGGAAAAATGTTGGTAACCCGAGAAAAAAGGCCTAAGGACACGAACTTTTTCAGAATTTTTATCTACACTATGAGTTCTACCTATGAGAAAATTTGGATCTTGAACGAAGACAATCAATCGGGTGGGTTTTCTCATGAGAAAAATCAAGGATAGTTCGAAAAGAAGAGGGAAGTCGCTTCTTGTACTACTTCTAAATAAGTCACTGCCTTTCTCTTTCATACATTATGCTATATGACAAACGATGGTCCTTATAATTAATTATATTCATTGAAATTTCTATATCGATTGCACATTGTTATACCTAGCGATTTTAAAAATGTCATTTTCGATGATAAAATATCCATAAAAATTAATTTTTTTCAAAGTTATTGATGAAAACAAATATTTTCATAAATTTAATTCCATGATTTTGATAGAAAATCGAATTCATAACATTAGCTTGATTAAAATGTCTGTTTGAAGTCATCTCCTCGTCTGAAAAATCGAAATTGACATAGTAGTCCGAGGTTTGATCTTTCATAAACGATATGATTTTTCATTTAACACATCACTTTTTTTTTTTCAAAATTTTTTTATAATTTCCGTCACCTTCTTCCTGTAAAAATCTGGAAATCTTTTTCTCTGTTTATTTTTTTTCTAATCGTGCCTATCACCATTCTTGAACAAACTTCATTATAGTCATTTGTTTATTTTTTGTTTGTTTGTTTGAAAGAACATGTAAAATTGCACTACTCGCTTTTTGAGCTAAAGTTTTTCTTCATTATATTTAAAAAATACTTCTATAAATAGGTAATTATGTTTTGAGAGTTATTCGAGGTATTTTAATTTGTCATTCTTTTCCTTCGCATAAAAAGCATGAATTTAAAATGATGACATTGCAGTCTGACCTGCTTCTTCAAATAAAAAATGTCGATTCAATAAAATGAGGACGCACAGGAAATTTTGGATTACCAAATGAGCTATTATTTTAACTTTCTTTGTTGAGTATACCCCACAACATCGTTTTATAGAGATGAAAAATTTATCATAACCTTTTCACTACAGTCCAAACATATCGTAAAAATTTCATGTGATTTGAATGTATTTGACTTAAGAGCGACTTTTGACAGAAGGACTTAAATCAATGAAAATGAAATAGATCAATTAATATGTCCGTTTTAACTTCTATGAATAGATTCAAGTATTGAAAGAAATTATTTAAACTCTTCTACAATACAAAATTTTCACATAGCTTCATCTCAACAAACAAAACAAACTTTACCATATTTATACAATGAAGAGATTATTGATGATTATCAAAAGAAAATAAACAAAAAAGAGAAAAAACGATCAAATAATATTAATCAATGGCAAAGAAATTATCAAAAAAACCAAATTCAAGTCAATGGTATAATTTCTGTATTATTCAAAACTTTTCATAATTCAAATTATGATTCTATTTATTTTCAGTGAAAGGCATTGGAAATCCATTAAAAATTAATCAAAATCATGAAAATTCACTAAATCAAATAGAAAATTTTCTGACAAGTACTCCTTGTCGTCATTATGAACATGTTAGTGATCATAAAAATAATCGACAACGATTAGTCGCCAATAATTTCTCCTCTCATCAAACAAATAACAAAATCAAACATGATGAATCAAATAGTAGAATTCTTAAAGGAAAAAAACTTAGTGATATAAGCCGACAACAACAACAACAACAACTCACTGAATCAACATATCAATCAATACCAGTTGGACTTGTCATGGAACAAAAAAAGTAGAAAAAACTGTCTAAAAAAAGTTTTTAATTCCCATTTTTATATTTTTTTTTAGTCGAACAATCAATCGAAATAATGAATTTGAATCTGAATATTCTTCTCGAAATACTACTCCTCCTTTTCATTCTCGTCCAACTCAAGTAATTCGTATATCTAATATTCATTATCAAGCTGAACAAAAGCAACAATTTAGTCCAAGACAAAACTCACCAACTGAATATATGAATTATTTACTTGAAACTACTCGAATTCAGCCAACCAATATCAATGATATTCAACGAAAAAGTGAAATTAATAGATTTAATAACACATCAAAAATGAATTCAATAGAATTTAACAAAACACAACAAAATTCAAATAGGCTTTTTGAAGCAAGATCACCAACATCTTGGTTAATTCTATCTGATGACCAAATTAATCAACAACAATGTGATCTTTATAAATCATCATCATCATCATCATCATTTTCACCTGGTCATGAATTAATCGATCATCAATTAACTCGTACTCATCGATTGATTGTCACCGATGAACAACGACCTCTTCATGAAAGATATGTTATGCCTAATGATAAGTATGTATCAAATTAATAAAAGATACTCTTTCGCTAACTTTTCTCCTACAAAGAAAGTCTTTTATACAGTATTTTCTAAAAGAATGATCATATTTTGGTCAAATTATTACTTTTACTGATAAAGTAACAAATGGAAGACGTAACTTAACTTTGATATGTCTGAACTGAGATATGCGACTTCTAATATGTTCGATTTTCGCGTAGAAACATGACAATACGAGGCTTATTCGCATAAATTTTGTGAGGCATTGACGAAAATGCATGCTGTAGTTTGTAGAGAAGAAACTTGTAATTTTTCCATCTCCCTCCTTCTCAGAGCCTATGTCAGATCATCACAGACAGGTCACCAACGCGTCCTCTCCCCTGTCACAGGACATGACAGATACCTTAGCAATGTCTCTTCTCTCCATGACAGACCCTTACATACATTGCTATACGATGACACACTGTATATGAATAATGTCTCGTTATAATATATGAACTAATTACTTATTGCATTTTTGGACGATCAAGTAAAAGGATGTCGAAGAAATGTATCTTAGAATAGCTACAATACAACAATGTTCCTGTAATTCTCAAAAGTAGCTACGTCATGTTTCATATTTTAATTCCACAGTGATTGCGTTAAAATCCTTTTTTGTATATAATCAGCGTATTTTTCAGGAGATGACAGACTAGAATCAATTTTTTCTGCAACTAGAATAGTATCGAGTACGAAAAAATCTGCTATCATTTATCAAAACTTGAAAGCTATCAGTACTTTCTATTTTATATTCAGAGAAAGTAATTGATTGTTCAAAATTACATTTCAATCGATTTCTATCAAATTGAATATCTTTGTTTTTTACAGCCAATTTCAAACAAACGATGAATCAAACATAAAGTGATGCATCAATTCATATAATCTTTATAGATCTCATATATGAGTCGTTTTTCGACAGAAAGCCTATCTTTGTTTTTTTCGAGTTCGATGATATGTTTAACTTTAAGAGAAAATTGAATCTAGTACAATCTTTATATATTCCATAAAATGTTAGTTAGATTCTAGAAGAGCTCACTTTCTTAAAAACCCAATGGTTCTATAAAAAATCCATGAAAATAGCTTTTGTATTATCATGCTCATATACGAAAACTGAACACGTTAAAAATTGAATATCTTAGTCTAGACTAGAGATGTGCGGGACCAAGTTTGTTTTGGTTTCAGTTTAGTCTAGGCCAAGCCATAGCTCTTGTAAATCTGGTGCAGTTCTGACACCGGCTCGGTTCCAACAACTTCTTTTCTCGTGATCTCGCTTCTGGTTCCGATTGCCGAGACCCACAGGAGTCCTCCACATTTCCAATTCAGACTCATCATTGTCAGCAAATAATTTTTATTCGTTAACTTGTCGGTGACAGTGATAATTTGATCAGAATATGATCAATCTTTTACACATACTTAGAGGTGTAAGCCATCCAGCTGCGTCGCCGCCGCTGTGAAAAAGTTAATTCAGCCGTTGCGCCGCCTCTACGAACGAAAATTTTTGATAATAGTACAATGCGCCGCCGCCACTGACATTTTTAGGAGCAAAAACGTTTTTTTTTTTGGTTGTCAAAGCCGCCGCCGGTGCAGAAAAACATACAGAAATTGTACCATTAAAACAGTCGCCGCCGTTTGACCCTTCGGCTTACACTTCTACACATACTATATAAAAATTTCCATATCATTAAAATGAATCATAATCTATTATAGAATTTTCGTTCTTAGATCTCAACATCCTTCATTCATTGATCATTCACTTGAATCGCGTTCTTGTCAAGCATATCCATTTACTAATGCATCTGATTCTGGTAGTATTATAAATGCTGTCGTCACAACCTTGTCGAATGAACTAACTGAATCCGACAATATGATCGATCAACAAAATTCTTCATTTTCTTCTTTGGATCATTTATCTCCAAATGATGAATTATCTTTGCCATTAGAAAACGTCACAATGTCAATGAAAAAAGATGACATATTAATAAATTACGATAGTGATGATGGTTGGAGTGATGATTCCGCTGAACTTATTTATGTTGATGATCGTTATATAACAGAAAACAAGAAGACTAATGCTTCTTCTTCGTCTTCGCATCTAATTTCAAAACAATATTCTTCTCTTCAACCTCAACAAAACAATGTGTTTCGTCAATAGTAATTTCGTCTTGTTTTTTTTTTTCATTTATGAACAGTGTCTACACAGAAAACGAGCTTTATTTTCAATGATTATCAATATTGAAGAAATATTAACTGTATTTTTGACATAGATTGAAAAATGGAACGATTAAAGTGAAAATAGTTTTTTCTTCTAACAGGAAAAACAAATTATATATAAATCTAGCAATTAACTTAGTTGCACACGTCTTATTCAAAACTATGGGGTCGGAATTTGTGGTCAGTGATGTTATGTGTTATGTAGGAGGATTTCTTTTATGACTATGAGTACATAAGTGAAAGTATGGTGTCTATGTGTTGTTGGCGTACATGTGTGTGTGTGTGGTGATTGGTAGATTTGAATGTGTTGGTAGTGTTCGAATTGCAGTGTATGATATTTGGTGTAAGGTATGTAATTGTGGCAGTATTTATGTCTGCTTATGTTTGCGGGTACGTGACAATAAGTTTGACAGGTTGAATAGTTCAAGAAAAGCGCTACGCTACGTGGTAGAATAACATAACGGGTGTCACAAAATGAATGGCGCTCTCAGTATTTTTCATATAACTCATTCATTTTTCAGTGTTTAAGAAAAAAAGTTTTTACCAAAAGATTCCTCGTCAAATTCTCTACAAAACGTA